TGGAAACTAATCAAGGAGAGAAGCAACTTAGAACTGAGGAGAAATTTCCTGACAGTTAGAACAATTAATCAGTGGAACAACTCCCTCCAGAAGTTGTGAATGCCCCAATACTGGAAGTCTTTAAGAAGACATTGGATAGCCATTTGTCTGAAACTGTATAGGGTTTCCTGCCTAGGCAGGGGTTGGACTAGAAGACCTTCAAGGTCCCTTCCAACTCTAATATTGTATTGTATTGTATTGTATTCTATTCTATTCTATTGTATAGTATTATACACTCAGCAACAATACACTGTTGTTTTTAGGTTTTCTTTGACTTGGAGCTTTATTTTTGAGAATGTGTGTTTTTCTTGGCTAACTATATTCATTTCCCACAAATATATATCCTCCCTCTGAAGTTATAAAAATATTCATTCTCGTCACCTGACTTCAAAAAATTAAGTTCCTTGAATCCCTTGATTTTTCCCTTGGAAATACTTTAAAAGCTGTTCTGTCACACTTTTGATATTACACACTAGTAAACTGATACCATCATGATTAAAATGCACTCCATATTTTATATAGAACTGGCTTGTCTGAAAATGAATTCCATCGCTGAGGGAGATGGGTGGTTAAGAAAGATGAACTATAAATAAATAAATTCCCAATCACTCAAATATCTAATCCCCCTCTTATTATTTCCAGTGTCACATTCATTCCTCATCTTGCTGTCAAATTCACAAACATACTTAACACCTTAGTCTTTTTATTTATTATTTTTAAAAATAGCATTCTATCTAGAGTATGTTTTACAAAACCAAAACCTAAGGTTGGGTTTTGCAGAGTGAAGCTCGGGCTTTTTCCTACAGTTTTCCTATAAAAATTAGTGAGAACATTTTAGGTATGCTGCCTTGTGGCTTTTCATTAAACCTACTCATTGGTTCTAAGATTGAAATAACTTTGTTATACTATTGCCACTCCTGACTGAAAAAATATTTGCACTTTTTGGAAGTTTTTAGAGAACAAGATTATTTTTTCCCATAGGAGTAAATTCATCTTATACTTTTTAGCATTCAATTAATTGTGCGTAAATGGTATTTAGCTTTATTTCAAAGACAGGCTCAATGTATACTTAACTGTGGTTTACAAATAAGTATTTATTTATTTTTTTTGATATTGCTATCTTTGATATTATCAGGAAGAATAATTTTCAGTTCAAGTATGTGAGGCATAAAAAAGTTGAAAGGAAGTTTGGATAATGAAACAATACCTCTAGCAGCTGAAATCGAGAGGTAAACAAGAACACCGTGTTGTTAGAAGGTCTATTTTCTTTTATTCCACCATGAGTAATTACTAAGTAGGAAGAGTCATTGATTTGAAATGCAGTACAATGATGAGGGTTCTCAATACTGAATTCCTAAGCAAAAAGTAAAACGATAGCTTTTTTTTTTACTATCCAAATAATAAAATCCATGAATTATTTTAAGACAAAATATTTAACATTCCTCTCTATTGAAATAAGATTTATAGATAGCCCTCCTTTAATGATTGCCTCAGTTAGCAACTATTCAAAGTTACGATGGTGATGAAAAAAATAATTTTACAATCAATCTTCACATTTATAACCTTTACAAGTCTGTAAAGCAAGAATATAAGCATGGCCATGGTTTCAATTAGCAACCATTTCACTTAACAACTGAATTTCTGGTTCTAATTGTGGTTTTTAAACAAGGTCTATCTGTGTATCACATAGCTTGAAACAGTGCTATGATCCAATATTCTTAAATATCAGTTTAATTTTTTACAGTATTTACCTCAACAGGAACAAAAACTCCCCGCCATTGATATATTGAAGACTTTACAGCTGGATTTGTTCTCAACAATAAACCATATAAAAAGTCTCCTTCCATAAAAAAACACCAGCTAGATATTGATTCTTCCTCAAAACTTTGTAAAATGGCCAGTACACTTAACCCACCCTCTGCAATTAAAAGAAAATTAATGCTATTAACTGTGCATGTTGGCATAAAACAAAGAAAGTCCATAATGATAGCTGACCAAATGACCATGAGCTGCTAAAATTGCATTACCTAGAAGAAAAGAGGCAAATAGGTTCAAGTCTAGGCATCTGCTTATCAAACCATTCCAGAATCTTGGAAACAATTCAGGACAATCCTACAAAACCACCAGCCTCTCACTTCTGTATCCTCCCATGGAAAAGTTTATTCCAGTTGCCCACAGGGAGAATAGAAAAACAGCAAACAACTGGCACCTATCCTTGTTCTTCTCTGATCATATTGTAACTACTAAGAAAAAAAGAAAGATAAGGAAAAAAAACCTTATAAAGCCGCAATATGGAAAGAAATGGATCAGGTAAAAGGAAATTAAGGGAACCAGATGGATCCCTCCAATGGGAAACTGCTTGATCTTTTTTCTTCTACAGAAGAAAAAAACAGCACAAACTTTTTGGATTTTTTTCTACAGGGAAAGCTAATCCAGTAGTTAATTGACGCAGCTTCCAAGACTTATATAAGTCTTGGGATGCTATGAGGACAACTCAGAATCCCAAGACATATATAAAGCACAAAAAGGCACAAAACCAATTTTGGACGGATACAGTCATTGTCTATGGAAAGGGCTTTATGTCTCTGTGATTGAATTGACCGAATTACAGTACATGAGTTATAAAAACCTATCCTGTAGAACCTATCAAAAAATTGACTTACTTATCCCAAATGCAGAATCAGGTCGCGTTTCCCATTCCACACTCACTGATGTATTGAGTCCATTGCTCCGAGATATTTTCAAGTAGACTGTAGTGTTTGCTTCCTCAGCTATAATAGAATTTGTCCTAAGAATTATGGAAGATTTAACAGAATATATAAATAGTGATCCTTTTTCAGATTCATTTCTCTAAGTGCTATATAACTAAATAAATGATAAAAATAAAAATATACAACTAAATAAATGACAAAATAAAAATATGCACCTAAATAAATGATAAAATAAAAATACAAGGAAGGTGTTCTATTGGCATACTCTTTGTAAAAAAACAAACACTGTTTTTCACCACATGTAAAATCTCACATATCCTGATGTTAAAATAACAGACTTTTTCATAGTAGTTCCGAGAATAGATGCTAATTATAATGTAAATATTCTATAAATCATAGCAAGATATTTAGAAATGTAACCTGTGGTTCTTTAGAATTTTCAGAGTTTACTGAAAAGATACCACCGTACATATTCCCTTGGAAATAAATGTCACTGGCTTGGGTGAATATAGAACTGATTGTGCAAAAATATCTGGGGAGCGTTTTGTTAACTGAGTGGAGCACTAATGGAATCAGGCCAGTTCAAGGGCCTCACAACTTTTTCTCTGGCCATGCATGTGCACAGATAGTTCTTCCAGGACTGTCTGTGTGTTGATCACCAGTCACCCTAAAAGCTGTGTTACGCTGTGCATTCACACGTAGTCAGTCCAAGCAGGAGCCTCAAAACCAGTTAAGCCATTTCGAAGAGATGGCATTTCAACACTCTTGAGCAGTAGGTTTGTTTTGTTTGCAGCACAAGGCAATTTCAAGAAAGGTTTTGCACATTCCTAGTTTGGGCTGCACATTGTTTGCCATGGTATCCAGGGAAAGCGAAACAGAGAAATACACAGATTTTAGTAGAACTGACATGGAATTATATTCCATCAATAATAATAAAAACAGATTAGATGCCAGGAATAAAAACTGAAACTGGGAAATATTAATGAAATCTCCAAATGCCTACTGTTAAAGAAGAGATGGTCAATATATAGAAGTATCTAAATGTATAACTATTATTTAATGTATTTAAAATATTCATATACTGTCTGTTGAAAATTTATGAATAATAAGCAATGAAAAATTTTCTATCAAAATTTATGGTTCATATTTATCCTATTTATCCCGACATTCTTCTGATATCTGTAACTCCAACATTTACCATTCTCTGTGTTATATTATAAATATCAAAAAAAATATGAAAGACTAAAGTAAATTAACTTTTATATATAACTAACAAATTAATTTCTGACCTAACACAATATTTACCTCTCTGTAACTGGAAAGATACTGAAAAGTCCCAAAGGGGCTTGATTTTGCAACACTGTGATCAATGTTTCTGTTCTTGCACCTAATCTGGCTCCACCAGTTGGATTGAACAGTGTAACAATGAAATGTTCGTCCATTTCTGGTTCAGTATCCAGGATGGCACTAATATGCAGATTCTGAATGAAAGGAAACATATTAGTATTCAAATCTTGGATACTAGTATAATTACATCAAGACACGGAATTAAATCAAGAACAACATGGTAGAATGGGAGAAACTGTCATTCTTATAACCTAAAAGATAATTTTTATTCTTCAAAATATAATATTTAAAATCAAGTATCAAAATCTTGAATCAACTATAATCAACAATGAAACTTTATAATAATTTCACATCTCAAAGCAATTACAAATATTACTATTATTTTGAAAGAGAAGCACATAAATACCATCTTTTCCATGTATTTGTAGTAACTCATCAGAACTTGCCAAATAAGATGTCCAATAAAATGTAGGTATTTTCAAAAATAATTGCTATTTAAATAAATATTTCCAAATAAATATGTACCGCAATGTCAGCTAAAGAATGTTTTTGAAAGAGCCAAACATTTTGAATATCTAAATCTGCCTACAATCCAAATCAGTACAATCATGCTCTGCAATTGTAAATTAGTTCTTAAGGTAAATAGTACAATATACATATTATATACATTTACTGATATAAGCCAATTTATGTATTTTCTTTCTAAAATAAAACAATATTATTTTTTTTTTTACATTTTGTAGAAACTCCTTGTTGTATATTACCTTGATTCTTATTCCTTCTTCTAGAACAATATAGCCCTGTGATGGAGTCAAATCTACTGATGCTTCAGAATAATTTATCTCTCGCACTATGTATTGGACAGTCACTGTTCCAAATATTCCTTGAGGTGGTTCTCTGATAATATTCAATATCGCAACACTTTCCATTAAATGGAGTGCTGTCTGTTCCCTTAGGAAAAAATGTTCACTATTGTTGAAGGACAAAACTCCATGACCGTCATCACTGGCCAGAATAGTAATTGTTGCTTTGAACAGATAATAAATGAAATGATTACCTTAATATACAACATAGATTCATTGGGTAATATTTCTACATAATTTAATAAAGAACACTGTTGTCAATATTGGTATCTAAATTCAGGTACAGTATATATTTGAGATTTTTCTGAGTACAAATTGTGAAAGATAACGAAGTTTATGTAGATTATAAACAGTTAATCATAATAAATCAAGACAGAAGTCTCTAACACATACAAGGAAAATTTGTGTTCCAACTTTGTTTTGCAAAGTTTGAAAAACATAGTCCTAAAGAACTTAATTAAAATTCAGTATTTCAAATGTATTTACATCAAACAAGAAAAAACTTTCATAATAAATATGTTTAATAAATAAATATATATATATTATTTTACACTACTGATTTTACTTGACTGATCCCAATAGTTTTGCTTAAATAATATGAAATCTATCTATTTTTTTCCATTATGAATTACAAAGTGAAAAGAATGTTTTAAAAGTTTCAAAAAGTTTCATATTGTTCTGTTATATTATTCTATCAATACTAAAAAGAATTGAAACCTTTTAATAATAGAACCCACCAAAAATTGCACAACTGTTTATGGACTTTCTACATGCTAAACACACACACACACACACACGTGTGTGTGTGTGTGTTTGTGTGTGTGTGTGTAAAAGGGGAGGATAAATTATTGCTTTTTCTTTTCTTTCAGCACCTAGCCAGGGTAGAACCTACATGTAAAATGATTTTTTTTATTTAAAAAAAGGACAATATAGGCCATTACAAAACAATATGACATACTGTCGGCCAATCATTGCTAACTATCAGTAATTTAGGTAATTGTGTAAATTGCTAATGATTACGAAGAATAATCACAAGTATCCACTGTT